GACCACATATATCGCAGTTTCCGTCTGTGAAATGTTGGGTATGCTCTCCATTCACCCTAATTTTGTGCAGGATGATAAAACAGCTTTCGCTATTGTATTTCCTCCTCTAAATAAGTTAAATGGGAACGGAACAACACTCCGTCGGCGGCACTCTTGCCAGCCTCGCGCAAACTGTTCTTGCTGTGGCAAAATGCCTGTCTGGTCCCTCCAGGAGCACGCAGCTCCTTTGACAAGGAAGGCTAAAGACCCTCCAGGGTTCTTTGGGAACATCAATATGTTTTGTATTTAATGTGCTGGCTCGGTTACAGCAAATTAAAGAGAGCGGGCCCGCTTTGAGATAATGTGGAAGGGAGGCTCCCTGCTCCCCAGTCAAGTGGTGCATGCTGGAAATGAGGCTCCGGCGTAGGGAAACGGCCCCCATTTATGTCCCCCTGCAGAACCAGGAGAGGCATTAGGCAAAGCCCTGTGCCTTAATGGTACGCATCAGGAAAACATCTGAGCTTGGGCCTTCAATCACAAACGCGGCAGGATTTAAAAATGAATAAACTTCACATTGTGATTCTCTTATTTATCCTTTATGCAAATGTTCCCTGGGAGGACACATTATGCTCGCCGCATGGCATGGCAGAAGCCCACATTAAGCTACAAGGGATGTGCCTCTTCGCTACAAAAAAAAATACCGTGGGCCCCATCCGTGCGGTTTGCACATCAGAGCAGTGGGATGGGTGGGAATAAAAAGAAAGAAAGGAAAAGAAAAGAAAAGAAATTTTAAAGTCACCCAATAAAACATCCAGAGGAAAGGACATGCAGAGAAACATAAGAAGAGACATGTTGGATTCGGCCAAGGTCTGTCTAGTTCAGCACTTGATTTACAGAGTAGTCTACTGTCCAATTCACACTGAAGAAATAATCCAGTTTGACACTGCTTTAACTGCCCTGGTTCAGTGCTAAGGAATCCTGGGAACTGTAATTTGTTGTGGCACCAGAGCTCTCTGACACAGAAGGCTAAATGTCTCACAAAACTGCAATTCCCAAAATTCCCTACCATTGAGCCAGGACAGTTTAAATCAGTGTCAAACTGGATTATTTCTGCAGTGTGGATTGGACCTATAGGTTACCCCAAGGAGAAGCCTCCTTGGAGGATCTGAGTGCAACTGCACTTTCTTTTCACACATTTTCAGGCCCATAAAATAGTTGGGCCTGAAAATGTGTATGGATCTAATTCCTAGTCACTAGTAGGTTAATTTGGTAGCATGTTCATAGATCCCATTTTACAGAGGGTGATCTTTTGTTAAAAAGGCTCTCTGCTCCAAGAAAAGAACCATCAAAAGAGGGAGCAGAGGTTTTGAATGTTCCCATCAATAGTTAGTAGCTGGACAGCAGACTAAGCACACACAGAGGACCTGTAGATAGATCTTTGGATGGGATGCCATAGAATTACAAGGATTTCTGACTTAAAACTGAACAGGTAGCAGCAGTAAGTAAATGTACCCTACCAACTCTACATTGTACTGGTGAAATGAAGATAACTTGGAGCAGCAAGAACTGAATTTTTATGGAGAAGGAGGATGAGCTCAGCTCCTTAGAGGAAACTTCTTTGTTGTTACTTTTGTTGCAGTGTGCCTTCAAGTCATTTCCGACTTCCGGCGACCCTAAGGCAAACCTATCACGGGGGTTTCTTGGCAACTTTCTTCAGAGGAAGTTTGCCATTGCCATCCTCTGAGGCTGAGAGAGTGTGACTCACCTAAGGTCACCTAGTCAGTTTACATGCTGGAGCTGGGATTCGAACCCTGATCTCCAGCATCCTAGTCCAATGCTCAAACCACTACACCATGCTGGCTCTAAACTATTGGTCTTTAAATTCTAGTGTCTTGCCTGCATGGTTTAAAAGGCCTGCTTTCCCCCTGATCTGGTGGCATCCTGTTCAGACAATGCATAGCCCAAACCCTGGTTCTGGTGTAGACAGTCCAGATGATATCCAACATGTTCAGTGCCAGAACTGGAATATAACACCCTTAACACGAATTTTAAAACCTTGCCTCTTACACCAAATCATCCAGGAAGAGCCTTTTATTTTCATGCTGTGGTGACTATCTGCAGAAACATCACACTGAGATGCCCTGTGCATCTGCCAGTCTGAGGTCAGAACAAGGTGCCCAGCCTTACGATCATTGCTGTGTGCCTCATTCTGAACTCAGACACAAGCAATCCATCCCATTGGTCCATGTAGTTCAATGATGATAACTTTGGCACTTGTGATGCCACAAAATCTGAGGCAGGATTGGTTCCTAGCTCGACACAGAAATCCCTAGTTTTCTCTCGCACACTCCCATCCAAGTTAAGCAAGCCCATACTCACTTAATTTCCAAGATTTTGTCTGCCTATAGCAGGGGTCCCCAAACTACGGCCCACAGACCAGACCCGGCCCGTTGAAGGCTTCTTACCAGCTCGCAGCCGGTCCTGCCGTCGCTGCCGCCACCGCCACTGCCACCTCTCGCGCGCCGCCTTACACCATTTTGTCTTCCAAAATAGTTCTCGGAGTCGTGTGCATGCGCCCAGCATCACGCGTGCATGTGCACTACTCGAGTGCCAGTTTGTCTTCCAAAATGGTGCCAGGAGTCTTGCACATGTACATGTGACGCCGGGCGCATGCACACAACTCCGGACGCCATTTTGGAAGACAAAATGGTGCCCGGAGTCATGCGCATGTGCATGCGCGCGCACCTCCGGCCCCCCACAGATCTGGGGGCCAGCGAACCGGCCCCCAGATCAAAAAGTTTGGGGACCCCTGGCCTATAGCTTCCACCTATCGATCATACACTTTTGTTTCAAAAGGCCCAACAGCTCTGACCGAGGCTGCCTCCGCACTGTAGAAATAATTTGACACCACTTTAACAGCCATGGCTCAGTGCTATAGAAGTTGGGGAGTTGTAGTTCACTGTGGCACCAGAGCTCTCTGACAGAAAAGGCTGACTGTCTCACAAAATATTCCCGCAGTGTGGATGGAGCCAAAGACTCTGCACAAATGGGCCATGCTTGTTCTCAGAATATATGCAGGGCTATCCTGGCAGATGTGCAGGAGATCTTTGCGCATGAGTCCATAAGTCAATGTGGATGAAGTTAGACTCCTCGGGAGCTGCTGGTTAAAGAAGACAAGTAGTGAAGAAAGCAGCTGGGAGTCTATTTTAGCAATTGCCGCAAAATCAGTCAAAGACGCAGACAGCCTTTATAATTAGCCTTGTTGTCATTTCCCCTCTTGTTAGTTCCGTAAACTGAATGAAATGACAGTGCAATAGAGAATGGAGCATCATGTTCCTGAGTTGAAAGCCCCAAAGTCCCTTTCCTCTCCCTTGCTTTTTCTCCTGTCCATTGAAGACGTTCATTATTAATATGTGGTCTCCTTGAACAAACATTTGCAGAAGTGTCTAGATAGCAGAATAGCATCTTGCCCTTATACAAGGAAAAAGAGAGGAGGAAAAAATAACTGAATGGTAATTTAGGGATGTTGCCACAACATTAACCACTCAAAGCATGAAAAAAAATTAAAATAAGTAAAAGTCAAAGGGAGATTTGTTAAGTAGTGCTCTGTGGGCAGACAGGCAGGCGGGCTGAGAATTGCTTAATCACAAATCTCTCTTTATCATTGTCACAGGTTGAGATTCGAACCCTCTCTGGTTTGTACTCATTCAGTGTCCCCAGCATCCTCAGGGTCAAAACAATGAGCTTCATGCTCTACCAGTGTTGTGGCGCTGGGGACCATAGGGTCAAAACACTGGGAGATGATGATGATGATGATAATGATGATAATGATGATGATGATGATGATGATGGACATTGGACAGAATCCTTTGTTGTTGTTGTTACTACTATTGCTGTTATGTGCCTTTATATCAACTCTGACTAATGGTAAATCTATCATAGGGTTGTCTTGGTAGGATTGAGTCCAAGGAGGTTTGCTATTGCTGCCTTCTGAAAGTGTAACCTGGCCAAGGTCACCTAATTATTTCTATAGCTGACCCTGGTCCCTGGTCTCCCAGAGATCCAATCTGGCTCTCAAACCACTGGTTCTCTTTGTTCTTTTTGTGTGCCTTCACGTTGCTTCCAATTTATGGTAATCCCAATGAGAACCAGGTTATCTGAAGGACTGTGTCTGCCTTTATGAATCCATTAGAGTTCTAAGATTATTTGGAGAGGACCTTCTCTCTGTCCCACCACCTTCACAGGCTCATTTGATGGGAACAAGGAGAGCGTGTTCTTGGTGGATGCTCCCAGACTTTGGAAATTCCTTCCTAGACAGGCCAGAATGGCTTTGTCCTTGCTTTCCTTCCGACAGAAGGCCAAAACATTTCTGTGCCATCAAGCTTTTACCAATTAACTATGACTTGACTTAAAGGTTGGTGAGATCCAGCTTGGTGGAATGATTTGAGCATTGGACTATGATTCTAGAGATCAGGTTTCAATCCCTTGTCAAGTCCTAAGAAGCACTGGGTAACCTTGGGCAAGTCACATTCTCTCAGCCTCAAGGGAAGGCAATGGCAAACAAGAAAACCCAATGATAGGATCACCTTAGGGTTGCCATAAGTTAAAAATGAGTTGGAGGCATACAACAGCAACAGCACACACTCTTTTAATGTATTAAAGTATTTTTAATGTTTAATGCTTTAAACCAGGCAATGGCAAACTGCCTCTGAACAAACTGCCTCCTGACAGTAAGGGCGGTTCGACAGTGGAACACACTCCCTCGGAGAGTAGTGGAGTCTCCTTCCTTGGAGGTCTTTAAGCAGAGGCTGGATGGCCATCTGTCAGGGATGCTTTGATTGGGAGTTCCTGCATGGCAGGGGGTTGGACTGGATGGCCCTTGTGGTCTCTTCCAACTCTATGATTCTATGATTCTATGATTCTATGAAATCTTGCCAAGATAACCCCGTAATAGGTTCGCCTTAGGGTTGTTGTTAGTCAGAAATTACTCAAAGGCACATAGCAATAACAACAACAGAGGAAAACAAGTATTTAAATAAAAAAGAAGGTAAATAGAATGAATGAATGAATGAATGAATGAATGAATGAATGAATGAAAAATGAAAATATTTGGGAGCAATGGGGCATTTTGGGAGGTGGTTTAGGTGAAATGTTGATGTTTCTGCATTTTTTTTGCCTATCTGAGGGATGCTTGTGGCTCACACAGGACACATTCTGCCTATCCATGGGCCAGTTGATCCTTGGGGTACTTCCAGTTCTTACAATTCATGGATTCTGTGTTTTCCAAAGAGATTTCTTTGGGAATCACTGGTGCCATAAGATGATCATAAAGAGCCTCTCAGGCTGGGCTGTGCCCCAGGCTAGTCCTGCTTTTAAACTATATGCATTTTCTTCCTGCTTGCATACAAACCTAATGAATCCCTCCATCTTGGCTTGTGGAGAGAAATAAGAACAAATCATCCCTGCCCATCTCTGCCTTGAGCTCTCATTGAAACACAGCAACTGAATATTGCACCAATATTCAATCTGCACCAATCCATCACTAATCCCTTGTCAAGTCCTAAGAAGCACAGACTCACAGCAATCCACACTCTTGGCCCATTTTATAGAAAGATTAGATGCCTAAGCTTCACACAGAGAGACACACACAGACATACACACACACACACAATGGGTGGCAAGCCTATGGAAGCCTTGGAAGCCTATGGGATGGACTTTCCCCAGCCTTGCTTTAGACTCATGAATCACAGAGATGGAAGGAACCCTAAGGGTTCTTTATGTTCATTCGATTATACACTGGTCAGAATCCTGTTGAAGCCTTATGCAATATTAAAACATGCCCACTTTTGTGTCAGGCAGAATGTCTACTCTCAGTTCAAGGTTGCTGCAGTGGAGTTATGCATTTGGTGCCATTTTTTCATGGCTATGTATTCCATATAGATGTGCTTGTGCATTATTATTATTATTATTATTATTATTATTCATTAATGGGACTCAAGGTGGCAAATAACATTTTAAACAATAAGGGTTAAAAACATTACAAATGTTAAATGAAAATATAAAATCTATAATCAAAGTTGTATATTAAAACAATTAAAATAAAACAAAAACTATATACAGATGCTCAAAAATTTCAAAACCAATATCACACAGCATTAAGAGCCCAATGCCAGCAGTTTGTAAAGGCCTGATGGCACAAAAATGCCACCAAAATATCACACAGCATTAAGAGCCCAATGCCAGCAGCTTGTAAAGAGCAATGATGGGGCCAGGCTGTCCTGGTTGGGGAAGGAGTTTCAACGTCTGGGACAGCCATTGAGAAGACCCATTCCCTTGTTCCCAGCAAAACATGCCTGAGAAGGTGGTGGGACAGGGGAAGGGATCTCTAGATTATCCTAAAACCCAAATGAGCTCATACAGAGAGACACAGTCCTTCAAATAACATGGACCCAAGCATATCTAGATATTTCTCTGCCCCTGGTATTCACTACCAATCAGAAGAAGGAAATTAACTTTCAGATTCCAAATATGGCAATCAAGCAAGACCTGAGAAGGATAAAACCTCATCCAAAGTCATCTTCGCAAGGCACATTTCATTGTAGAACTAATCCTTGTCATCCATCATCATCCTCCGAGCACTCCCACAGACAAAACAGAAGTTGAGATCCTACATCAAGGTGTATAGCTCTGCATCTCCTCATGCAGAGTTATGGATTAATTGTGCTGCACATCCCATGTGTTGGAAGGCAATGCTGTGCAATGGAACCACGATACCAAATGTAGAACTAAGTGCTCAACCAAATGACCATCCATGTGTAATGAGCACTTGCAGGCATAATAGGATTGCCTGTGGAATTCTGC